CCTGTCCCTCCCCAAAGACCAGTTCACCAGGATACTCCACCATATGCCAAAGTCCTGGACAACACAGCCCCTAAAGCAGGGGTGGCCAAGTCCAGTCCTCGAGAGCCACCATCCTGCAAGTTTCAGATGCATCCCTGCTTCAACACACCTGAATCAAATGACTGGCTCGTTATCAGGCCTCTGTAGAGCTGATCCCGGTCTGTTGAAGTAAGGATACTTCTAAAACTTGCAGGATGGTGGCTCTCGAGGACTGGACTTGGCCACCCCTGCCCTAAAGGATCACAGTGGCTTGCAAAGCCCTCCGTTGCATGAAGGTGATTACTCTAAGAAAGGCTATCTGCTTCCTAAATAGAATAAAATATGCAATTGTGACTTTGCTTTGAAGAGTAAAGAGTTAAACTGAAAAGGGAAATTGTTGCCAACCTCGCATCTGTCCTTTCACACAAAGGGAAGCAATTTTGAATCACAATGTACAAATGAGGCAAACAAGGAAGACTATTAAGTAATTAATTTTAATTCACCACATGTATGTGCCATTGTCAGAACTCAATTACCAACTAATGGGAAAATGAAGAATGCCCAAACGATGCCTATCAGAAGCAATTTTCACACAAAAACACAATGAGCCAACAAATCTCAAGCTCCATCTATGAAAGGCTTTTCTTCCTTAAATGACTGTGTGATTGTTATTAAGAATGGCCTTTTCTTTAGCAATACTCCTAAAAAAAAAAGCCATGATGAAAAAGATGAATTATGCCAGCGCACATCAAGTCCATTAAGTAGGTGTGAGTCATAGTGGGAGAAATCGGTAAAGGAGGGGGGGGGGGGAGGCATATGAGCCACACGGACACAGAGGGAAAATGTTTTTACAATTTTCATTTTGATTTTACTCTAACAGCATCTGCTTGGCGACTGATTCTACTTCACCCGAAGGAAATGAAAGGAAAACATCAGGAGCACCTAGCAACGAGGCGGAGAGCGACTTTACCTATCCATTTGGAGCCGAAACAACAGCTGCTGTTGCTTTCACTTCAATTAGTTGCTGGTACTATACATCCCTAACACAAAAAGGAAAGCGAATTTGAACAAAGACAAAAATGAACAAATAATGGCAGGTTGCTAAGCGCATTGGGGCAGGAGTGTATAAATTACCAGGTTGGAGATTCGCATTCAGAGCTGCCTCCCCGTTGCCACCCAACACAGGGTCTGTCAGAGAGCACACCTACGTGCACAGCAGTGTCCCCGCTCTGTTATCCTGGACACAGACCTATTAACGTCTCGACGCTCAGGGCTATTCTTTTTTGAATTTCCACCTGAACAAACACCGGAGTTTGAGTCAATAACGGCTCGACGTGTGTGAGGCTAAAACGGGCCAAGAAGACAAAAGTTTTCACAAACAATAAGTCTGCCTGTCACTAGCAACAGGACAGTAGGCTGCTTGACAGCTGAAGCAAAAATAACACACTCCCTGGGTTAAAAGTGGCTCATATTCTAACTATCTCGGTATCTTCCTTTAGTACATATATACTCAGATGAACTGCCAGGAGGCTTAGTACGAACAGACAAAAATAGAAACAGACGTCCTAACTCTAGTCTCATAAAAAGTAATACAAATTTGTCTGAATGGGATAATTTTTTAAAGCTCCTGCTACATTTGCATTGGGAGGAAAAATCAGTGGAAAGACACAAGTACATAATGTTAAGAAGTATAGGTGAAGTTTTGTCAGTCAATATTTTTTAACGTCTTAATTCAAACCCACCTCTTTCATTTGGGCTTTGGGCCAGTAAAAATGACCACAAAGAAACGTTCTGGTTGAGCTATTCCTTCATTTAGTTTTCTTACTTCAGGCCAAGTTAGGTTTCACCGTAGACCTGGGAGCCTAAATGATAAAATGATAAATGGTTGTATAGTGCTTTATTAAGTCCAGAGAATCCCAAAGAGCTTTACACTACATTAATTCAGTCACCCATTGACACGCATTCACACCCTGATGGTAAAAAAAGTAATGTGATCTGTTGGGAAGGGAATGCTTCAGAGGTTTTTATGTTGTTTCCTTCAGTAGTTCTGGCTGCGGCGCCACCACAGGCGAGGAGGTCAACAGGTTTTTCAGTTGGTTTTGATGATTTGGCAGAAAGCAGTGTGAAAGTGAACCGCACCAGCTGAAAATATAATCAAAGTTGCAGTTTTGGTTCTCAATTGAACCAGACTATCAGGTGTGAAAACACTCTAAGTAAACAACTGATCATTCCAACGTGAACACAGCTTGAAGTTTAATAAAGCTATTTCCATAGTCAGCTGGAATGTTTAAGAGACTGAAGTTGTTTTTAGATAGAAATCTGCCTTGGCCCGGTTCCACCTCTGTCTAGTTATCAGCCTCAGCCTCTGGGACCAACTAACCTGGATTTATGCTGAATGAAGATGCCAAGTTACATTCTGCATTGTGAATATTACAAATTACACTAAAAAGTAATATTACGGGGTGCTGTGGTGCCACAGGGGCAAAGCACAGCTCATGTATTGAGGCATTAGTCTTCATGCCGGTGGTCGCAGGTTCGATTCCCGGCCTGGTGACATTTGCTGCATGTCTTCCCCCTCTTTCCTGTCAGACTACTTTCTAATATAGAGCCAACAAAACCTTTTAAAAAAAAGTAATATTACTACCGTAGATGTACGGATGCATTTTTCCTTCAGATGGAAGGACCCTGTAAAGGAAAGAGCTGCTCACTTGTGGTCTGTATAGAAACCCCACCCACAACTTAAAAATGAACATGAACTCCTCATGTAAAGTGGGGAAGTGCTTCATGATGACTAAATTAGATGTTCAGTTCTGTGTGAGAGCATTATTAAAATTTAACCTGCATCATGGCTTTCCTGACACAGTCTGCACAGCGCAACTTCTCTGAAATCAACGGGGATTATTAATATGAGCCTTAAAAGACGACTTTAAAGAAACTGAACCTTTTTTTTTCCTAAGAGGATTTAGTAAAATAAAGGATACAAACAGTTGCCTCAAAAGCTGACAGAAACACACAAGGAGAGGATGAGCTGACTTTCGCCATCCACTTGCAACACATTTTTAGGTCTGTGATTTAAAATATTTGATGCAAACAGCGTGGGCCGATCTAGCTAAAATATGCATAGAAACATGAGAGGGAACACAATTATTTTATGATCAATTTGACTATAGCGACACACTGGAGACCAAAACCCCCTGCAGTGCTGACACGTCTGACCAATCAACACGTTTTTTTGCTGGAACTGAGCAAACAGCGAGGAGGATCGTTAGCATAATTTATTGTGTTTATGTTTTACAGCACTGCGATAAAACAAGATGGACACCAGTGGGTGGTGAATAAATATTAATTACATAAAGATGATAAAAGGGACACAAAAGGCGAAGAGTACAAATGTGCTGTATGTTTTACATGGCATCTCTAATTTTAGGTAACTCTTTCTTTTTTTTTTTTTACAATGTACTTTTCTGAAATTTCAGAAGCTGTTAGTTTTTTTCAATTAAGGAGACATGAGTCGCTCATTACCAGAACATGTCTTCTCTTTAGATTAGGATGGATATCGTCTTTATCACTTTGACTTTGCTACAGTTGTTACTAGACCTGTCACAATAATCAATACATCAATTAATTGCATGATTTGAAACAAAATCAGTTATTTCCGTTTGCATGATTTATTGTCTTTTTTTCTGTCTCTTTTTACCAAAAACTAGATGATGAAAGACTTCAATTTGGTGCTTTGGTCTCAACTATCCCATTTTTGAAGGACAACTATGTTTACAAAGATTTCAAAAGTCATTTTATTTCTTGTTTTGTTGATTTATCTTATATATTTAAAATGTTTTTCAGTACCAGTGTTAAATGTTTATTAGAATTTAAAGTTTACTGATCTGTTAGAATGTTCTCTTGAGACTCATTATTGTTTTGCCATTATCATTATATTACTTAAAAAATGGTCTCTAAACAACAATATTATCGTTTATGGCAATAACTTCTGGAACAATTTATCGTCCAGCAAAATTTATCATGACAGGCCTAGTTGTTATAATATCAGAACTTCTGAATCATGTTCACAACAGAAGCCTGTCTATAATTCCCGACCACAGCGTTATCTGGCTGTTGGTGGGAGTGGCACTAATACATTTATTTTTCTTCCTGGAGAAATCCAAATCCAGCGGAAACATTATAAATAGATCCGAGGCAGACAGTTTATGCGAGAAAACCCTCCATCTTGCCAGAGTGGAGGCTGTTCTGGAGAGAGCAAATGGAATGAATTCTTCCGAGAAGTTTGTGCAAGACTGGTCAGAACTTACTGGAAACATTACAACCAGCAGACACCACATATTGAGAGCAAATGTGTGCAATCTCTCTCCTGAATGATATGCAATACTGCAGTATACTGGCTCTTAATTCCTTATCTGTTTTTGTACCTGGAAGTGGCATTTCTTTCTGTCACGCTTTAATAAGAGCTATCCATTCTCTTCTGCTTATCTCAAACTTGGGGTAATAGGTAACGGAAGGATATATAGTACCTGCACAGTGACACTAACCAGCTCATTATGGGGGACAGAAACCTGTTGCCAGAGCAGAAGGGATACATAGTCCCTCCAGTGTATCCTACGTTGTACCCACAAAACTTCTAAAGAAAAATGCACAGGAGGCATCCTGATCTGATGGCTAAACCACCTCAGCTAACTCCTGTTGAGGCTTAGAAGCTCCTGCTTCCATCAGAGGATTGAGATTTTATCCTATCTTAAACAGAGCCAAGCCCATGTCCACCACTGGTATCTGAGATCTCGTTCTTTTTGTCCATCTCATTAACCTTGGTCAGGGTTGGCAAGGTAAACAGGCTGGTAAATTGAGACCTTTGATCTCAATGTGCTTTTACTGTCTCTTTTGGCAGCCGCTACGGAGCAAAGCACATCTTTGAATCCATGACAAATTTTCCCCTATGGGACGACAAAGTATATGATCTTCTATTCAATGCCTGCAGTGCGGCAGATGAACACCAGTCCATTGGTCCATCTTCCGCTCCATTCTGCCATCACCCATGAACAACATTTTCCCGTAAGGCAAAGATGACATGGAGGGAACAATCAACATTTTTCCAGCAGTTAACCATGACTTCAGACATCTGCAAAAACTCAAAGATAAGAGCCTGAGTTTCCCTGACCAGAAACCATGAATACACCTTGAGATAACGTCTACACCCAAAACAAATCTGCTATAAGGGGCAGCTTCTGTTCGATCATACTGGACCCTTCGGTTCTTCATCAGTCATAGCAACAGCTTCCTTTACTGCTGGTAAGTTCAGAAATCACTTTTGTTTTTATTTAGCCTGTCACATAAAATCCCCCTCAAAAAATGCTTAGAAGTTTGAGATTGTACCACCATTACAAAACATGAGATATTCAAGAGGTGCCAATACTTGCCAGGCGCAGTTTTAGTATCCAAGTCTGGCCATGTCAGTAAAGCCCGTTGACCTAAGAGGGAACAAATTGAATTCATTTACATACTGGACACGATGAGGGAAAGGGGGGGTGGGAGGGGAGGCACAATAGGAGAGAGAACAAGACACATCAGAGAGAATGAGGGCCAGCCAATACAATGCAAGGGAAAGACACCCTGGGTAAAGAGAGAGAGAGAGACAGAGAGAGAGATAGAGAGAGAGAAAGACTCAGAGAGAGAGAGAGAAAGGAGATCCCCGCTGAGAGGAAGAGAGGCTGCATGTGGAAAGCTGAGAGCAGAGCAAAAGCGGAGACGCATTCAGCTCTTGGCCACCACGGAAGACGACAACAACTTGCCGACTGACAACACTCTTCTGGAGAATCGAGAGCTCTTCAGTCAGCCGCGTGGTTCTCTACCTTCTTCCTCCACTTCTTTGAAATTGTTTTAGGAAAGTGACGAGACATGGGAATGTGCCACGTGGGAAACATGAAGGTTCGCACAGGAACGTTCAGGTTGTTGGCGGACGTGGATGGAGAGTGAGAGTGACTGACATTTTCCACTGAGGTACGGATCTGGAAATGAGTAGGAAAAACATGGAATACTTCAGATTCCTTGGAGGGCTGACCTTCATTTTGGTTAAAAAGAAGCAGTGAAATGTTTTGTTCTTCTTAAGGGAGAGGGGAAAGTTAGTGACACATGGACAAAACCATGTTGAATGTAATCATGATCACCGTCCATCCCCGTCAGCTGCTCATGCCATCTCACAGGTGTGGGGACAAGTTGGGGTGAGGAAGCTTTTTAGGAAATTCCACCCAGCTTTTTACGATAAAGTTTTTTTCTCCAAAGTGCAGATTTTGTCCTCAGGAAGCAACATATTTGCCGGAAAAATTGTCAAGACAGAAAATTCCAATTTTTAAGAACACAGAGCTAATATTTTTAACATGAGCGCTGCTTTGACAAGCTCAGACTTCAAGGATGTGAAACCTGCGACTTCCATTCAAAAACCTTCCATGAGGTTCTTCTTTTTCTTCTCTCTTTTTCATGAAGACACTAGTCCCAGGTTTGGATTTGGTTATTTTCAGTAACTGAAGCACTTCTGTCTCGTTTGTTTTTTGCTCATTTTTCCAGACCCTTGAGACACACAGTGACGGTATCACCCAAGCAATTTAATTTTTACGCACGCCCTATTGTCCTTTAAGATCAAACAGCTGCTCTTTTCTGTCGCTCTCAATTCAGCTGTCTGCTATTTTTATTTCCCTCTGTGGAGGATCATCTGTTGATCCTGACAGACATTTCAAGGCTTCAGTTCCCTTGGAGGTGCTGGAATACCCAAGACACGTGTTGCATTGAAGGGTACCTCATAAATCAAGAGACACTTGGCGATGCTTTACAGTATTTTACAAGAAAATGCTTCTTAAAGTTTGAATTCCCTTACTCCAGTCTGGGCTGTTCATCTTTAGAGGCACTGGGGTGAGACTATGAACCTGCCTGGTGGCAATATGTCCGAGTTGATCTCTAACACCATCAGGACCTTCAGTGCTCTGGAGTCTAACCCTTGGCCTTCGCCTTTGCCCGATAACTTGACGCACTTCAGGTGTCAGGGGAGCAACCTCGCCCGCAATGGCATCGAGACGCAAGTGGCAAACTGGTCCCAGCACGGTGGCGTGGTGGACTTCGGATCTCGCTGCCTTCACGCCGAGTCGCGGGTGGAGAAGAACTGGCCGGCGCTTCTGATTTTGGTCGCCATTGCCGTCACGGTCATGGGCAACATCCTGGTGATCCTGGCGGTTTCCCTGGAGAAAAAGCTGCAGAACGCCACTAACTACTTCTTGATGTCACTGGCTGTGGCTGATATGCTCCTCGGCATCTTGGTGATGCCGGTCTCCATGGTGACCATTCTCTACGGTAAGGCGCGCATGTCACTCACATTGGGCTTTTATTAAGTTGACATTTGGTGTGTTGCTGACTCCGCTCCAACGTGCTTCCCACAGCCTTTGGATGGAATGTCTTTAGGACTAAACAGACTACACCTGTCTGCATGCTGAACGCTTCAGTGCCTCTTTTCTGGTTCAAATCACCCTCTCTGGGTTTAGGTTTACCTCTAACCCTGTGTTTGGAAGTGTGGTAAATGAAAAGAAAGGGGGGAAAAAAAGACTTTAGAAAGCATGCCTGGCTCTGTGGTGGTGGTGGAGGACAGATGGAGAGCAGCAGTGATGGAGGTGGTCAGCCCTTGTTGACAGTGATGTGTTTATTTGGAGTGCCGCTTCAACAGAAAAAGAAAGTGGCACAACTTGCCTCCGCAGAGAGATGAATGAAAAGGCTCACAGGGCCATGTTTCTGCCACACAGACAAACTCCTACAGGTAGACTCTGTTAATACTGCATGTGTTATATAAGCAGTCAGAGCTGCAGTGCCTGGTAAAAGTATTCACACCCCTGGAAGGTCTGATCTTCTTTCTTTGTCAAATTTGAATGTATTTTATCAAGATTTCACGACACGTGGAGCATTACTACTACAATGCGTTTCTATTGACCTTAAATTTGGAATTACGAAAAAAATTCAACTAATGGAAACAAGGCAATTTCGAACAAAGGTTTTGTGTAAAGTTTTGCACGTGGATGATGTGTTTTTTTTCCGGCCGTATTGAATTTGGTGTATTTTGCATATTTTCATATCGTGTCATGTGACCAATAATCGGATGTTACCACTGGTGGAAACGCTGAAGAAGACAACAGGAAGATGGCGCGGCATGATTTTTAATGACTTATTGCATGAACGAACTGATTTTAATTGCGTTTCCTACTTATTGGAAGTAACACAATCGTGTTTTTTTTTTTTACAATTTTGTAATGAAAACAGCTTTTGCGATTTCCAAAAATGAGCACGGTCTACTTTACTCTGTTTAGTCTGATAACTTAAAGTTGTAGTTCCAGAAATCAATCCTTGCTCTAACTTTTGTAAATGGTCATGTCCATGTCTTGTTACAAAGCTATACTTCCTGTATGATTCTTTCTATGCATGAACTGATATTTCTTAGTGTAGCCTGCATATTTTTATTGATGTACAGCATTCTTACAGCGACACACTCACAACTGATGATAGAGAAAATAAAATATGTTGCTTTCACAAAAAAAGCCATGTTTTCAAATTAAAAGCTGCCTACTTGGACTCAGCACTTTGGTAACATCTCAGGTCATCTGGCATTCTCCACCCATTTTCCATCAACATCTCCAAAACAAAGCAGCCCCATAACATAATGCAGCCAACACCGTGTCCTGAAGCAGAGGCGATGTGTTTAAAGTTGACTGAAACTATTCCTGCCTCATAAAGATTTTTGAATGCAGGCCAAAAAGGTACATTTTTGTCTTATATGCCACATGTTGAGGAACAATGTGTCTTTCACATGGACTGTAGAAAAATTCTGGATTTCTTCTTCCAGTTCTTCAGTAAGGCCAGATTTGTGAGACATGTTTAAATCTTAGGCCAGAGTTATGCAACAAAACTTTTTTTTTTGGTCATGATGCTGTTTGTTAATATTTTCTACCAAAATGTTGTAGCCGTTACAGAGGCAGCTGGATTTATTTAGACATTTATCTTAATTTCTGAAGGTTGCTGGTAGCTCTGGACTTTACTTAGGGGTTTTACAGTAAGGAGTTTGAATATGTTTACCATACATATATATATATATATATATATATATATATATATATATATATATATATATATTCACAACATTCTTTGTTTTATTAACTTTACAATTGTTAAATACTTTGGTTATCCTATAAATTACGAAATAATCATTGAAGTTTTAGGTTGAAATGGGCCAAAATGTGAGAAAGTGAAGGGTGTGAAAATGTTTGCATGTTGTATCATAATTAAAACGGTGAAGCTGGGGTTAATGATGTTAAACTGGCTACGTCCTTTTTCCATATACTTATATCACCAGATTCCCTGTATATGTGGACTTCACTGCAAAACACCTAAATCTAAACCATCCTGTCCTAGATGGATCAGGTTTTACCATCCGATCAGATTTCAGGTGTGATGTTGCTCTTTTTTGCATTTGAAGAACAAATAATTCCCAGATGAAAAGATGATGCCGCAGTCTGCCATTTCACAACCTGCTCACTTTCTTCACATCTCAGAAATACAAATATAACACGGCGTATCTGACACCAACACCAGTGATTAGTGTGAGTTACACGGAGAGACATTTCTAGAAGGTGGTGATGAGAGCGACTTGGTGGCTGCTTGGAAAAAGGTGAACTGAAAATGTCAGGGAGAAGATGAGCAACATTCTTAAAATGCTGGCTAAAATATCCTCATTTATGTGAACTTTTTCTTTTACACAGTTTTTTTCATGAGTCTTTCAGATGTCATAATTTGACAATGCTATCTGACTACTTCAACTGGACTGTAAGGTTAGACCTGTGAGTAATGGCAGGAGGCAAAAACGCTGAAATAACTTAACATTTTAGAAACAGAATGCCTAATTGTTTACCCAAGGGGTATCAACATGCAAAATCAGTCACAATAACAAATTTTGCTGAGCAATTAATTGTCTAAAAAATTATTGCGATAAACGATAATATTGTTTCAAGACCTTTTGACACTGATTTAATAGAAATGACTAATAATGCATGCTATTTCCTAACGCTGAATGTGACAGGTAGCCAATTAGAAAGCGCGGATTCTCCACTGTGCTTTCTGAGGGGAAATAACGAGGGGAATCCCAAACAGCTGACATGGCGCAACCCGAAGTCCAGCGGACATTGGAGATGATATGTGGAAACAACATTAATATTTATTCAACATTTCGTGCAAAGAATATAGAAATGACAAGGAGAGGAGTTGGAGCCAAATTGCTACCGCAGTTGATAAACCCGGTAGGTTTTCAGCTGTTCTTCGTTAACGTGACATAAATAGGTTATAATGATTTTCATTCAGTCAGGACTTTATGCTGACTCTAGCCACATGCATCACAGGTAGATTCTAGTAAAGCATTGATTAATGTCTGGTTTTAAAATTAGTTAACTGGACTTGTAGCCATTATTTTGTGCCCATGTGGCTGGACACCACACGGCACGACAAACCCGATCGAACCGTTATACCGTAGATTTCTGTCGGCTAATGTGTGGTC